TATAAAAAGAGCGTCGCAGCAGTCGCCACCTGATTGAGAGTTTCAGGTGGCGACTGCTGCGACGAACCCGGACGCTCTTAGGCTGAGACCGATCGCTTGACGACAACACACACGTGTGAACCTGTACAGTGCGGTACACGTGTAGCACCTCGGCTCGCGCTCCACACGTGTACACCGGCGCCCCCTCCACACCCTACGTGCTGACAGCGGGGCTTACACAGTGACCTCGCGGGGAGCGACCGTCGCGACGTGTTGGCCGGTGACTCGCGGGCCGCTGATCTCGCATCGAGCGGCGGCGTTGGGAGGCCGCACGCGAATCAGCCACTCGTTCTGCCCCCCCCGCACTTTACCGACATTTCCTACGATGCCCTCGCCCACCCACCGCTATCTCGCCTACGCAACTACCGCGCCCGCTATGTAACAAACCACCTACTGTACAGTACCCAAGGGTACCCTTGGTACTGCTCGCCCTATCCGCAGCCACATCCCCCCACTCCACCCCATCCGCGGCCCCTCCCTTCCCCCCCCTCACCATGCTTTCATCCCCGCGCAAAAAGCCGCGCGGCCCGAGCGCCTTCGCACCGGCCGTGGGCGTCAAGTCTGCGCCGCCTGCGCCGCCACCGACGACGCCGTCATCGCCATCCCCCGCGCCGCCCTCGCACGGCGCGGCGCCTCTCCCCCGCGCGCGCGACGCGTCGGCACTCAAGCGGGCGCTGGTGCACTTCCTGTCGGGCGGGCTGTCGGCCGGGCTGGTGCGCGCGTCGCTGCAGCCGCTGGACACGTGCAAGACGCGGCTGCAGGCGTCGTCGGCGTCTTCGTCGGCGTCGCTGCGCGCGACGCTGCTAGCCGGCAAGGGGCTGCCCGGGCTGTACCGCGGCGTGGTGCCCGGCGTGGTCGGCATCGTGCCGGCCGCCGCCCGTGTACATGCTGGTGTTCCAGTCGCTCAAGTCGCGCCTGGTGCGCCGCTTCCCGCCGCGCGGGCGCAACGTCGCCATCGCGCTGTCGGCCGCCGTTGGCGATGTTGCCGCGTCGCTCGTCAGGGTGCCGTGCGAGGTGCTCAAGCAGCGGCTCCAGGTCGGCGTGTACGCCGACCTCGGCACGGCGCTGCGCGGACTGGTCGCGACGGGGCATGTGGGACGGCTGTACGCAGGGCTTGGGGCGCAGCTCGCGAGGGACGTGCCGTACGCGGCGGTGGAGTTTGTGTTTTATGAGAATTTGAAGAATGGGGTGAGCGATGGGAAGGGGGAGAAACTGAGTAGGGCGGAGAGTTTTTTGGTCGGGGGGTTATCCGGGGCGGCAGCGGCCGTGGCGAGTAACCCGCTGGACGTGGTTAAGACGCGCCTGATGACACAGATGAGGAGCGGCGGAGGGGTTAGGTATCGAGGGGTCGGGCATGCGCTCGTGACGGTGGCGAGGGAGGAAGGGGTGAAGACGTTTGCTAAGGGGATCGCGCCGCGGATCGCGGCTAAGACGCTGCAGAGCGCGCTCTTCTTTGCGGCGTACGAGACGATGAAGAAGAGGATTGCGGAGGTCGTCGGCGTAGAGATGCAGGGGAAGGAGTTGTAAGAGCATCCCCACCGGTACGCAATCAAATCATCAAATAACAACACTTGGCACACTTTTTCTGTAATTTGATTGGCTCCCTAGAATTTGGTTGTTTCGTTATTTGGCTGTTTGATGCTTCGGAAAGAACTGCCCCACCGGTGAGAACTAAATGAAATACATTCCCCTCGTACTCACCATCGCATCCTTGTACTCACACTCGTACTCACCCTCGTATCGCACCCTCAGTCGTAGTCGCACGCTCACTCGAAACCCATCCCGCGACCTTCTCCCTCGCCACTCTGTCTGCACTCCTTCCCTCTCACCTCCACCGTGGACAAAGACAGACTGCCGGCGCTGTCCTCCCTGCTCACGGACAGCACGCGCTCCCCACGCGACCGCGAGCAGCGCGATCCCGGAGAGAACATACGCGCCGGCGGCAGCGGTGCTGCGGCGGATGATTGGCTCGACAGCCGCGAGCGACGTTCTCCTGCGGCTGCTGCTGCTGCTGAGCAGCGAATCGCACTGCTCTAGCACTGTCTGCGCTTGTGAACCTGTCGGAGGACGAGGAGCCGGCGGCTCTGACGCACGCGGACGCGGCGTGGCTCGCAGCGCAGGTGGTCCTGGACGCGGACGTCGTCGCGCTGCACGCGGCGCTGCTGTCCAACCTGACGCGCTTCGCGCCGGGCGTGGACGAAGCGGAGGGCGCGGACGGGTTTCGGGAGAGGGGCACGCTACTCGTGCTCGTGGAGAGGGTACCGAGTATTCCGAATGTGCTGCGGCTGTCGAATGCGTGCGCGAGCCAGGAGGGGAGGGACGTCCTGTTGGTCGAGGGAAGGCAGGCGGAGAGACAGCTGTTGACGAGGTTTCTAAGATTGCTGGAGGCGGGGGAGGCAGAGAAGAGGCTGGCGGGGGCGAGCTGGGTGCGGAACTGCGCGATGGCGGACGAGTGCCATGATGTGTTGGTGGGGGTACGGCGGCGGTGGCAATGTGCTTGGGGAGGTCAAAGGAGGTGGGACGGGAGGAGATGGCGGAGATTCGCGCCTGGTTGGTCGAGGAAGTGTTGTTGTTGTGTAAGAGCCGGGCGGGGAAGGACGCGCTCAGGGATGGCGGGGCCGTCGACGTTCTGGAGGGATGGAAGGGGGAAGAGCATCAGGGATGGCGGGGCCGTCGACGTTCTGGAGGGATGGAAGGGGGAAGAGCATGCACGCCGTAGTGGGCATTCTGGATCGGCGGGAGACACTGGTAATCTCGAGGCAAATACCGCATCGATGCACTTTTTGGTGGGAAGCCGTTTCGGTCGACCAATAGAACGTGCACAACTGGATTGTCAAGGGTAATCAAACAGAGACTATCCGAACCAAATTCTTGATATTTGGTTCCGATTTTTAGATCGACACCAAAAATTTGATGATTTGGTTGCACCGGTGGGGATTTCAATCGACATCAAATCATCAAATTTTGGTTGTTTGGGTATTTGATTCTACCGGTGGGGATGCTCTAAAGGAGCGGCAGTCGCGTGTGCACGATGATAGGAGACACGCATTACACACGTATTACACGATACGGTATACAGCAATCAGGGCTCTTTGTTTTACAACGTGTACACGTAAATCAATGGGATGCCCCTTCACGAAAGCGTGTTGAACATCCCGAAAAAAGAGTACATCACGGGAAAGTAAGTTAGGTAAAACAGCGGGGTGAGAAGCGGAGGGCTCCCCCCGCGTACCTTCAAGGTACCCAAGGGTACTTATCACTAAAGCGTGTTGAAACATGCCGCAAAGAGTAGAGCACGAGTAGTACTGCACACGTGTACAGTAGCCAATATCCATGCAAGTTAAAAGGACGGAGCGATCTCAAGTAGGCGACGGCCACTTCTTGAGAAGCGGCCGTCGACCACTTGTCCCCCGGGGGAAGTCGCGCTCCCCCCCGCGTACTCGTCTACACTGTAGACAAGCCGCAAAGAGTGCATCACGAGTAGTGCTGTACACGTGTACAGTAGCCAATATCCCATGCAGGTACGTGTAGAGGGTTGCCTATGTACTGTACGCAGGCATGGGAGGCGATTATGCCACTGTAGGCGCCGCGATAACCTTGGGAATAACACTGCAGTAAACCCCTACTGGGAGTACCGGTACCCTTCGGGTACAAGTACAAGGGCCCACACCCCCCGGCACGGTAACACTAAATTGCTTCCACAAAAACTGCACTCTGCTCCCACCGACGGACGCTCCTCCCCCTCCGCCCCCCGGACGACCGCGCACCTCCGTCATCCCCCTGCCCCCTAATGCTTGGCCCCTCGGGCCCGCCGGCCCGCGCCGCAAAGCCGACCCTGCCCCCCTCGCTCCCGCCGCTGCCACCGCCGGTCGTCACCCCGTCCCCCTCCTCCCCGCTGCCGCGCGCCTCCGACGCCGTTCTCACCGCAGGATGCCAGCACCACACCCCGCCGCTCAAGCCGCTCGCCCGCCTCATTGACTCGCGCTCCCAGTCCCCGCACCCGCCGCACCACGCCCCCGTCGGCCCCTTCATCATCGGCGTCACCGGCGGCTCCGCCTCGGGCAAGACCACCGTCTGCGAGAAGATCATCCACGGCCTGGGCGACCAGCGCTGCGTCCTCGTGTCTTTGGACTGGTTCTATCACGGCCTCCCCGACGGCGTCTTGCCAGGCACCTACAACTTTGACCACCCCGACGCCTTTGACTTCGAGGCCCTGGGGAGCACGCTCGAGAGCATGAAGACCCGCCAGCCTGTCACCGTCCCCAAGTACGATTTCGCAAGGCATTCCCGCGTCGAGGACAACGCCGCAGACCTCGACGCCGCAGACGTCATCATTGTCGAGGGCATCCTCACCTTCTACGACCCGCTCATCAGGAACCTCATGCACATGAAAATCTTCGTGGATGAAGACGCCGACATTTGTCTCTCGCGCCGCATCACGCGCGACGTCAAGTCGAGGGGGAGGAGCGTCGAGTCTATTCTCGCCCAGTACACACGCTTTGTGAAGCCGGCCTTCGAGCGCTTCATTCTGCCCACCAAGCGCTATGCAGACATCGTCGTCCCACGTGGCGGCGACAATTTGGTCGCCATTGACTTGATCATCAAGCACATCGCCCTCAAGATACGACAGGAGGATTTGAGAAAGGTCTTTTCGAACCTCGTCGTCATGTCGGATTCTTACCAGTCGAGGGGATTGCATACTATTGTTAGGGATCGCAATGCGTCGCGAAATGACATCGTCTTCTACTCGAATCGCTTGATGCGCCTGCTTATTGAGGAGAGCCTGGGTTTGTTGCCATTCCAGAGAAGGACCGTCACCACGCCGAGCGGCAAGAAGTTTTGCGGCGTCGGCTTCGTGCAGGGGTTAGCCGGTGTCAGCTTGATGCCCAACGGGGAGACGATGGAGTCGAGCCTGCGGGACGTGTGCAACACGGTGCGCATCGGCAAGATGCTGATGGCGGAAGGCGGGGAGAAAGGCGTATCGTATGAGTGTTTGCCAGAGGAAATCGAGGACAAATACATACTGGTGCTGGACCCCGTGCTAGACTCTGGGGAGGCTTGCGAGATGGCGCTGGCGCGACTGATGGAGCTCGGATGCCGCGAGGACCGCGTGTTGGTCCTGAGCCTCATCGTGTCGCCGCAGGCCGTGACGAGGATCTGCGCACGCTTTACTAAGGTTCAGCTGGTGGTTTCCGCTATCGATAAGGGTATCGATGCAGACGGAAGGGTGTATCCAGGGGCGGGGGACTTCGGGACCAGGTATTACGGAGCCGATACGATATGGGGGGGAGCACGATGACTTGACAGTGACGTCAAGGGAGCCAACGAGAAGAGGGCGGGGGGATGGGCAACCGTGATGCAGTACACGTGTAGAGTATCTAAAATTGGTGCGCCATACAGAGGCTCTCTACTTCACCTATTTCGGGTGCGCCAATCGGACCACAGGGGTCCTCTTTGATCGAGTGGTCCCCAAAACCTGGCCCCTGCCCCTCCCCCTTTGACCGTCAACAGCCTTGTTCGAAAGAGTTGGCCCCGCTTGCGGCTCGCTCACCTCAACTCCCCTCGCTTGTAGACTCCACTCGCCAAACACATGCACCCTCGCCCATTTGAAGAATCACCCCCGTACAAAAAAGGTGTCACCCTCCTCCATTCGTGACAGAAAGTTGGTCACTATCCGCAGTGCTTTCTTCTTTCCCTTTCCAGCATTGGCGCCAATGAGAGATTTTCAACCGAAATTCTAACGAATCTACAAGTTGTACTCCCTGGGAGGTTGCCCCTGTGTCATACCCGTGCATATCGTCTCCACACGAATCGCGCAAGGTGCGCTCCCTGACTGCTAGTGCGAGAACATTGCAGTGAGTACAGCGTGGAATCCACGGTTCGACGCGATACCGTACACTCGAGTTAGTGTAGTCCTTTCGAGATAAAGAGACTACAGTCCGGCATTCTTGTGGTTTTGCTGACCTCAAGTAGAAAAAATTGATTGACATATGCAAGAATGATGACCTTGTCAGTCTTCTAGAAATTGGCGAAGTCGAGGCGTTGCATGCGTCTTGTACTTCGCATCTACAATACTGTTCGCTTCCCGAATGAAACTCCGTACTGAAGCAATTGACCTCTCTGTAGCAGTAAACAACAGCGATATTGGAGATGGATTCGTGCAACATACCTCGCAGTGCATGCATGAAGAATGTCATCAGAATGACTACCAGCAGCAGCGTGTACTCTTAAGACTGTCGCGTTTAATCTTTTGCAAAAGATAAAAACCACATTTACAAAAGCATTTGACTCAAGGTCTGTCACTCGTTATCGCGCAGAATGAAGCGTTGTCCAACATCTCAGTCCTGATGTTCTGTAATGATCTCAATCCCTCTCTCAAGTTTTTTCTTGCAATCTCAAGCTTGCTGGAAAGATTGGAATGTTTGTGAGTCGTGGGTGTCCGACCTTCACTCGCTAATCCAATGGAAAATAGAGCCAAGTAGAACGAATTCATTTCGAGAAATTTTGTATTTCTTTACTCTTGGTCACCAGCACAATATTAAACAGTCATGATGTACGACGTTTGTTTTGTCTTTTCTGGCTGCAATCGAAAGTCATGTGTTCCAATTGGAAGGAGATGGCAATGTTCAATTGTGAAGCGCTTTTGTAATCTGATCGCTCATGGGCTGTCAGATCAATGGTGCAGAAGCGAGGATAGTATATAATCACCGCAACACTCGATGGAAATTGGTGAGTTTTGAGCCAAGACTTTCACTTCTGCCTTGTTCTCTGTATGTTTTCTTGAAAAGATGGCCTCTTTGCCTTCGGACAAGGAATCGAGTTCTTTTACGGTGATTTATCTTTATTCACTCGTGGAATGAAAACATATTCCTTCTCTCTGCAATGTCTCAAGAGCAGAGTATCACTCTTGACAGCCGTAATGAAAATTTTATGATTACCCTTCCAGGTTTTACTATGACCTATCTTTTCTCCGAGTGGTCTAACACGGGCACCAACATCCTTCATGTGTCATCAAAATCGGAACATTTTGGGATTCTCAGAAAGGGTTCCCCCTGCAAATAAGTGAATTGGGCAAAGCTACCACAACAAGATGAATGCGAAACAAAAAGAGAAAATGTTTATACCATGCATGTACGGTAACCTAAAAATATATACTATACAAGAAATAATTGCAATTTTCTGAAGCACAGAGAGCTTCCTTCCATGGATAGGATCTACGAATGTGGCAAAAGGACGACCTTTTGTGTCATTTTTACCTGCAGCCTGGCCGTTTTAGGCACAGCAGCTTTCAAAAAAAGAAGAAACATTAATTTTGACTTCCCTCCTGTTTAACTACACCCTAGCTTAAACCCAACACAACTATCTATTTAAAACCTTTTGACGCTATTGAATTTCGAATCGCTTGACTGACAATCGTCAAAGGACTTCAAGCTTAGCTTTACACATTGAAATCTTGTCACCACTTGCACACCCCAACAAGTTGAAAAGGGACCAATACCAAAGATAAAATCATTGTGTAGGCACTGATGCCTCTTTAATGTTTCGATCATCAGAGTACTTATAGCCGTCTCGTACCACCTCAAGTATGTCGCTGCACTGCTGGCCAGATGCGTGCGATCCTAGGTGTTTGCGTCCGGAAGAGCTCCATTTCGTGTCACCTACTTGCTGGCTATATGTTGCACACAAGATCAACTACAAAACTAAGTAGAACCATATACAGTAGGCACGAACTCAGTAATCGACCGCAGCTTCTTACTGCTAAATTTGAGCATCCCGTTATTTAGCACCCTCAGAAAACCTCTTGATAGAAAAGCCTTCCGCGATGTATCTCACAGCCACAATATGCAGGATCTGTTTATACTAGTACATTATTCGTGGCACGCTGTCACTAAACGACCCAACTATCTAATTGATGATTCTGTTCATGGGTTATTGGTAACCCGCAAGACTGCAGTAGCATTTGTGATATCCTTTATGGGTTCATGAAACAGACAAGAATAGAAGCCGATCTGGTCTCCAGGCATTATTAAGGCCGACCCAACCACAATTGGGAAGGCAGACATTTCTACACATCGAACACCGCTCCCTCCCTTGACCAAAACTGACTGGTCAAGCCCATTATCAGCAATTCGAGTTCCCTCCTCGAATCCGCTTCCCGATCATCTCATCCGCCCTTAGCCATACCAACTGGCCAAAAACTTTGTTCCACCTTGAGCCGTCTTCTCCTGACCCGCTCAAGGGATTGTTCCGATTTCCGAACCCGACTTCCTGTCATTGTGGGTTGTGTACCTGTGGCTGGCCACATATTTATCATTTAAGGAGAAGTTTGTGGGCAATCTAAGTATGAAAAGCCACTGCTTGTCCTACAATGGGATCGAAAAGCAATGCTAATGCCCAGACATGTATGATCCGTTCGACATTCGACTTCAGTGTTAATTCTTGCAAATCAATGCACACTGTAAACATTTACAGACCTTTGCAATAGAAAACTGACCTCCCTTAATGGGGAATTTCAATTTCAATTTATTTGTCGCAATTTTGCACTATGTGGTACATATCGCTTTCCAAATCCATTCTTAAACAATTCCAAAACTTTTGTACCTATTCCTTCATGCCTGGGTTTTATGGAGGAAGCAGACAGACACATCAATCGCAAATCGATGTCAAGCTGTAGACTCCCTGAAATGCAAAAAGATTTGATTGATGATTGAGTTTCTATTTTAAAAAATATTGTCTGGAGAGGCCCCTTCCTCGACTTTTGAGGTATCATAACCACGCTCTTTGAACACAAATCAGACGTTAGAAATGTTGCCCCCTCAGCTGCGGGACGCAGTATTATCGTTTCTTTTTTTTCGTTATCCTGGATTTCCATCTTACCCGCTCTCATATCGAAAATGTTGTGTGACCTTATCTCTAAAACGAAGAGCTGCATCTCTCTTTCTCTCTTGGTACGGATATAAGCCGAAATCCATTATCTATAAGAAGAATATCAAATTGCTCCAAGCTACTTATCACCATTTATGTAGGGGTTTGACTAAAATTATTGTAAAGAAGCAACAGTGGTAATTTCCTGCCAAGATAGGATTTTTGGGAGCACTGTCGAACAAAATGATGAAATACTTCAAACTTCTTGGTTTTACGACACAAAAGAACAGTATATGAATTGTTGAACTCGTACTGGCTTTATAAAAATCAACTCATATCGGTTTAAAGATTTCTATTCAGTTATGCAGGATATAGAAATCGTGTGGAGAGGTTTCAAGTCGTCGGATTATGTGAGGAGGAGAACATGTACACTCATCATCAACTTTATGGGTTCAAAACTCAACCTTTTAAGTGGCTAACACAAAAAAAGATATACATAACAGGAAGAATGGTTACGGGTGACGTGCTCGGAAGAATTTGTAGGTTTTTTTCGCTTTTCGGTTTCTGAAGATCTACCACGACATACGATGAACAAAAGGACCACGCCGAAACTGTACAACATGGGTAAAAAATTGTGCACAGCCTTTTGAGTTTGTAATGTCGTTTTGTCATATTCATGTTCACCCTATGCTCCATAGGTCGCGCCACTTCCCTTTTCATCTTTTGTATTTAGAATTAATGCTTTACAGTAAAAAAGACCCTTAGCAGTTACATTGGAAAAATAAACGAGGTGCCATGTATAATGCAACAAAGGATTGAAATGGGGGTTTCAATCCAAAACTAAACTAATATCATATGAAGGGCGACTACACTCGTTCCTCATCATAGAAATGTAAGCATCGGTTAGACTGAAGGACACCTGAACAATAACTTCTCACGATGAAACCACATGAAATCAATACAATCTCTTTAACGGAACAGCAAATATATAAGAACGTCTCAGAATCATTGAAATACATCACCGCCCCATTTGAAGGTGTGGTAGTTCTCGTCAATGCAGTCATCCAGCCGCGTTTACGAGAATTACCATAAAATACCAAAATATCCTTTGATGGCAAGTCATTCATCTGTTCTGGAAACATTTACCTCCGATACCCGACAGACAAAGATATAAATTCTTGCAACGTAGGTATTCTCTTCCCACCTTTTTGCAGCTTCCATTGCTCTAAGAGCATTCAGGACGTCTACGGGGGGCAGATATTCAAAAGGCATTGTGGGTCGGCCCTATGCTGTACATTCAATAAACATGGCATTGCAATCCGCTTGCCTCCTACATTTTAGTAATTTTCAAGCAGCACTTCATGAGACTTTTCTTCTTCTTCTCACCATTTGTTGATCTGTTTTAATTTCATGTATAAAGCTGTACCCTTGGTA